GTATTTGACCTTCTCCCTCTGACTTATTTCACTTTGCATTATACCCTCAATGTCCATCCATGTTGTCACAAATGGCTGGATTTCGTTGTTTCTTATGGCTGAGTAGTATTCCATTGTGTATATATACCACAGCTTCTTTACTTTAAGCCAATTAAATAGGGCTTTTAGAAACTATACCATTCAGAGTTCAACTTTTCACACATATATTATATACATGTATACACACATACACAGAGACTTCAGGGCTATTGTTTTAAAACTACTGCCATGAATCAGGTACACTAATATTAAGCTCCCTAGTTATGAATCCCAATTTTATTTTAAGCCTCTTCTACTAATATTTGTGGAGAATACACTCAGGATGCTAGATTTGGGGCAAGAGTGTTCTTAAGGCCATTTTTCATTTTTTTTTTCCCTTTAGTCTTAGGAATTGGTGATGGGCTATAACAGTTCCCAGGGAGGTGAGGCCATAAACCTTTCTGAAGTAGAGGAACCGGGGTGGAATCTGAACTTCCTCTAGAGCTGCCTTTTAGTCTTGCAAGGGTTTGTAAGTTGAGGACAATTGTTCTACCTGTCCAACCACATCATCCTAATTTGCTATTTTCACTATGTGTGCTTAGTTTTATTTTAACTTAGGGAAGAAGGCCCAGAAAGAAATTTCCTATCAGGCTCTGAGTATCAGTTTCCAGTTTGGCCAAATTTCTGATTAAAGTTGCTAAATTCTTTCAAATACTTTGTCAGGTTTCAGCCAGGACAAATACTAACTACTTTGGAGTATTGAACAGTTCCAGCAATCTTTAACGTAGCATTTTTCAAGAAAATCTCTCAGTTTCATTCATTCTGCTAGTAGATTATGGGGATGTCTATAAAGTCATGGCCTAATATATTTTCCTCTATGTACCTTTTATAACAATATTTTTATTAGCTTTTTGCAACAAAACTTTTGATGAGGTTATTTTGGAATTTTGAAGTCTTTGCTTTTTAAGTGAACTTTTTAAATGATCTTACTAATCAGAATGTTCTTTCTAATGGCCAATGTAATTCCACTAAAGCTGCAGCACTTTGGTAGGACCCTCAGCCATGAGTGGAGTGCAAGCCCCATTTCTGTCTGACCATCTCTGATGGCAAAATGGGGTGCAACTGCATTACATCTGACTGTATTTTGGAACCTCAACCTGATGATTATTAAGCCAAGCCCTCAGGATTTGAAACAAGCTTGGTAAGACTTTTTTTTTTTTTTTGCTGTTCTTTGTAAATATTTATAGCTTCCAAAACCTTTAGTTTGAACAATTGTGCCAGAACTTGGCGAGCTCGACACTTTAAAAATTTGTCCATTATCTGGCTCCTTAAAAGGAGCTGAACAGTGGCCACTGCAATTTTAAATTTTCCCATGTTATCTTGTCAGCCATTTATGGCTATCCTTATTTCCTTAAGCACTTGCAAGTTTCAGCAGGATACAGCTAGAATTCCAAAAGGAGGCTACCCATTCAGGAACTGGTCAGCTTTTGGAGGATTAAATTCCCATTTTTCTTTTGTTTCATTTTACTGTAAAATCTGTACAATCTCTAGGGGCAGTGTAAGGAGCTTATATCCCTTCTCTTCAGAGCCAAAGATGTTCAGAGTCTCATTTCTGAAGAAGTAGAATTAGTCACGGTCTACTTTATCTTTTCATTTAAAATGCCATGTTTTCAAGATCCATGGTTTGCAGCAGAGCAGAAATGTCTTCAAAAGACAGCTGTTGATGTTATCGTGTAGGCAAGACCAGTGATGACTTTCTACATGAGGAAGTTTCTGATGGGGTGTGAGGAGGAGGGCTGGGCCAGGATGCTGTAGGAAGTTCTAAAAGAGTTTGCATCCAAGGCTCTAGGTGTAATCACCAATGGGTCAGGTCCCTTGTTATGACTTTGTTTCCCTGTGTGGCAAGCAGGCTTGCAATGAGGAGCATGTTCATCAATCCTGACCCTAAAACTGTTTCCTCCAGGGGAAGTAAGCATAGGGAAAAACTGAATGTGAAAGATCTTCTAAACAGTTGTCCTTCTGTATCCATGGGGGACTGGTTTCAGAACCCTCCACAGATACCAAAATCCATGGGTGCTTGAATCCCTTAGTTGGCTCTTCTTCTACAAGGTTCCACATTTGAAGATACACAGGGATGACTATATATGCCATGAGTACATTAAACTCTTTGTAAAAATACATGAATATATATTTTCTATATTTCTTTGGTCTTTCAAAGGAAGAGGAAAACATCATGGCACTTCACCCTAATTATCTCATTATGCATCTCTTAAGAAGAAGGAAAAATTCACATATAAATCACAATAACATTTCCATACATTAACAAATGACAATAATTCCTTAAGGTCAAGTAGAGTATGGTCAATATTCACATTTACCCAACTGTTCCACTAACGTGCTTTATAGTTGCTTATTTTATTCTTAGCTCATTTTTGATATAGATTCACACATCGAGTTAGGTTGTAATGTCTCTTTATAGTAAGCATTCTTAAAGAAATACCACACTTTGGTGAGGATTGGAAATCAGCTGAAGTAAGTTAGTGGGTTCCATCCTTTTCTACGTTTGATATCAACCCCGACTCTTACTGGTTAAAATTATTGTTATAAAAGTAATAACATTGTCATTTAAAGTTCACCCATAGAAGAGGGTAACTTTTCCTGCAATCTTTTTCCACCTCCGGAGAACCACCAATAGCATTTTTATTGGTATAATTGACAGGTAACGTTCTATTAGTTTCAGTGTACAACATAAGGACTTGATATTAGTATATGTTGTGAAGTGATCGTCACAATAATTCTAGTTAACATCCATCATCACACAGTTACGTTTTTTTCTTGAGATGAGAACTTTTAAGACCTACCCTCTTAGCAACTTTCTCATATACAATTCAGTATTATTAACTACAGTCACCATGCTCTACATTATATCCCCATGACTCATTTATTTCTTAACTGGAAGTTTGTACTTCTTGACCCCCTTCAACCATTTCTCCCACCCCATACTTCTGGAAACAATCCATCTGTTCTCTGTATCTATATGTTCAGTTTATGATTTTTGTTTCTGTTTTAGATT